AAAAGAGAGAGACTCTCTTTTTTTCCTATGATTTTCTGCGAATTTTCTTTTAAGGCTAGGGACCATAATTGTAAGACTACTGCGTATTCAGATTTTTGTGATAGATCTTTGTAAACTGGCATAAGTTTGAATACTCTGTGATCTTTTATAATCTCAATTGAATAAAATTTATCTCACATTTATGGTGACTATAAAGAACACTGGGGTCGTGGTGGACTCCGTAGAGGTTTCCTATAACAACCGTACCTTGAGGGATAACCATCCCATTGCTGTGTTTGTAGTCTTCTACGCTGTAGTGGAAATTACCAAAGGGAGAAGTGCTTGAAAGCCGGAGTACTTCCAGAATAACGGCACGTGTGTAGGGGAGCCTTGAAGCCGGAATTAGTTTTTGATTAAAAAGGTATAAACTGTTGTGTACACAATTGTAGTTTGTTGCATGGTAATCAGTATTTCGAAAATTTGCCATGTACTGTATAAGAATGAATTAAAGCATATACAATAATTATACATTTTACAGAGTGTAGCAATAAATTTTCACTAACATTCCTACATTATACTTGATATCGTTAATTTTAATTAATTAAAATTTCTTCCGAAAATATGTCCTATATAAAAATTTTACAGAGTGTTTGACCAAAACCTAACCTAACCAAACCATGTCCCATCTATAATTAATTTAGATAAGTCCACGACAATGGATATCAAGTATCGATCGTGCGGCACTATCCTTCAAGATACAAATATTTTATCATCATCATGTTGTGCTAGTTTCTATGAAAGAATTTAACAAATAGTCTTCATTTGGTAACTGCAATATGTATGTACAAAATGTTTAAAAGCAAAAAATAATACCTTACCTCTGAAATAGATTTCGTAACCAACTACATAATTTGAACAGTTGTCTAAAATTTCTTCACAAGACGAGACGACTTAATTTGTCATTGCTGCTGTGCTACGTGCTAGTTATAACGGACGGTCATGTATAGGTGGCGGATGGACATATCAAATTGGGCTACATTTTACCAAACTAACGTGCAAATATTATCTTAATAGCTGACTAAAGTGTACGTTTGAAGAATTTGTTTGGTACAATATTGTGCCAAAATATCTTCCTCCTCCTCGTATTCGAGGAGGAGGAAGATATAAAATTGGTTTATATCTTAATATTGGTTAATTATTAAAATAGGAAACTAGTCAGCAGTCAGAGAAAGTCGGGAGAAAATCAAGATTATTATCTTGATTTTCTCCCGACTTTCTCTGACTGCTGACTAGTTTCTGCTGCTCCACTCTTGACCGACTTCCAGCACCAACTAAACTAAATTTTTATACTGGACGCTTGTTTTTTACCCACGAGGTCAAGGCTCGTTCCCGAGGTGACCAACGTGCCCCAAGATACTTCCGCCTAACTAGACTTTCCCACGGGACGGGATCATCCCTGCCGGGATCGGGATGGGACTCAGGACGGGATAAGATTTTTCGTCCCGAAGGTGGTCGGGACGGGATGGAATGAAGGTCGTCCCGTCCCGTCCCATTTCATCCAGATCGGAACGGGATGTCCCGTGTCTAGCTTTTTTTCAAATTCCACTGGAATTGACTTGGAAGTGGAATGTGTAAATAAATTTTACAAATGCAATGTTCACTTCTTTTCCTCAAGTTTATTGTCAATTTTGCGACCGCTTTTATTTTTACTGACTTAAAGTTCAATTCCTGGAATGTATTTTGCACAAGTCATACAAATATGTAATCGGAAACGAAGTAGCCAGTCGGGTATTTGTCGTCTAAAAACAATTATCGGTTACCTGGGCGTTGTGCATAATGATATTACTACTTGCATATGTATAATATGTGTTACCGTTGGGTACATAAGACATGTATTCTTTCAATCCCCGTTTCTCGGGGAATTTATTTCCAATCTATCTTAACCTATTTACACTTCGTACTTAACCTACTCCTAGACGTCTCTCTAGCTATCCTAAAACCTTTCTGACTTCTCTCCCGTCCCGAACCTCCGTTCGAGATCTCCTCTTAACTTGGCTGTGGCGTGATCTTTCCCAAGATCACACCACACTCAAGGATCTATTTTGGGATCCAAATCTGCATCCTGCAGATTTGGCTCCGCTTACATATGTATGAAATGATAACCATCTACCACGTGTTGGTCAAGATAAATAATTCAGGAGGATATACAGCAAACTATATTTGTTCATTTCCAATATTACAAGATTGCTACGTGCGTTTTATTACTACAAGTTAATTATGATTGATTGGTTGAATTTTATTACGCCTTTTTTATAGGGCAGTACAGGCCTGTCTAGACACATTTTTGCTTAACCTAGATTACATGAATCGCATTTTTTATAAAAGTATATCTTAATAATAGTAAGATGTGAAAGAAATTAATGAAATAATTTAATTATTTGCGGATAAATAATTTTGGTTGATTTAAGCATACTACTAAATAATTGCGTAAATAGAGTAAATAATAAATTTCAACTGTGGGCACTACCTCTACATAATTGCGAGAAATTAATGTTAAGTTTTATATTTTAGAATCTTCTACTTACTGCCTAATTGCGGGTAATTAATGAATACCAACTAAGATATAAAGTAATTATGTTATTGTGTGTTTTGTAATTATGTGTTATAATGTATTGTGCGTGTATGTGGGGTGGATTGGTGGGTCATGTTCAGTTCAATTACGAACAAGTGAATTATGATTATATTTGTATAATAAATTCCCTGGTCTGCAATCCACCTCTAGGTTAGTTTGTAATTTAAGTAACAAAATTATATTGATATGTTGATCAAGAAATACCTTATGTATAAACAACTTTTGCTTCGATTTTATGTCAACGCCAAGCGTATACTAAGTTTTTTTATTATCACAAGTTAAGTATTAGACGTACATAGTCGCAGATGTTTAGAAACTTGACAATCATATATTAAGTATTGCCTTTGCAGAATTAAATTCGTTAACCTTATCGACATAATTTTATCTAATCTTTATAATTGATACCTACGTACATATGTATGTTGTGTAAAGATAGCTAATTACGAAAACGCGAATGCAATACTTTACTAACAGGAAATAAGACAGTAAAAGTTGTTCAGTTTGCTTATTAATGTTTGTTATACTTCAGCCATTCTTTATATTTTATATTCTCTACTTTCCATTTATGTATAATATTCCGTTCCGATAATTACCATGGTAGTGCATGTACACAATTCATAAATCATTAGAAGGTAAAGAGAGCGCAAAATTTGGTAAATATGGTTTTAGCAGGGGTTTGCACACGTGAACAAACATCCCATTCCCGACTACTTGAATAACAAATATATGTAACTGCTTACATTTGCAAGTAGTACAGTTAAGATTTTCAAGCCTCACAAATTGTTCAGTATCATTTTCCCGAGGCTCCGTAATAGACTTCATTGCTCGTGGTTAAAATTTCAATAATAATTAATAAATAAATTTCAACAATAAATTTAAATAACCCTTAAATCCACCACAGAATGTTTCCAGAAGCATTTCACGGTATTAAGCGTTTATTAATAATTTCAGATTTTTACAATTGTCTATTCCTTACGTTTGACCGAGAAAGAAACCTGTTCATACGGACAAAATAGAGAAAGCAAATCGTGACGTATTTTTGAATAGCATTCCATGTCTTGTCTGCCAGATGGTATAGTAGTGAGCGGGGTAATGGTTATACCCATAACATGGAG